GTAACTTCATCCCGTAATTACCGTGTTCAAAAAAAATAACACAAAACAACCTGCTGAACAGAAAACAGTGATACAAAAAAAGGCTCTATCGCACAGATCTGTATCACAAGATCAAAACGCCCGACCCATCTCCAGCCTTCTGGGAATGTTGCTGACTCAGCCGCCACAGCATGAGCCCATGTCTGAGTTAATACGGAACTACGAGAAGAAGCTTTACGATGAAAACAAACAAAAAAAGTCAGGTGAAATAGCAGAATTTCAACGTATCTTTTGTGATCACAGAGCTCGCTTACAGGATGGACAAACAGGTCCAGCCCCGAACAGATTGCCGTTACGCGCTGCGAGGAAATCCATCCCTTCTGACAGGACACAATGTGAACGTCCTCATTAACATAAGCCTGAATGAAGACAGAGTCGTGTGTTCAGAGGACACGGGTCACTCTTTGTTATGTTGGGTCAATTGGACAAAATATGACCCTCATGTTGGACCTGACCAACACCCCCCTACAGAAAGTCAATACCGAGGGTTTCATTGGCTGACCAGTGAGAGGAGAGTATGCTACACACTGCAGTTAGCTAACACTTTCACCAAGTGATTACTAAAAAGCTTTGTGGGAATTTATTGGCACCTGGGTGAAGTTTATGGTAAGTTTTTCCTCATAAAATTGTATCTTGATGTGTGTTTGTTTTTCAATATCATTAGCATCGCAAGATTTGTTTAGTTTACACGTCCGTAATGTACACCCGCCTTCAGAGTCAAGAACCAATCAAATTTTGTGAAGACAAGCGACCTGAAAGAGCGTGATTCGCAACGCTGCGATCGCGCTGCGATCGCGCTGCGATCGCTATCACGTCCCGTGTGTCGGGTTTCACCCGTTTCACATACAGCATATATTAGGGCTGTGTATTGGCAAGAATTTGGCGATACGATACATATCATAACAGAGAGGTCACGATATGATATATCACGATATATTGCGATACTGTAAGCAAGGAAGTATATTGCAATATATTGTGATTTTTTTTGTCCAAAAATTCTATTAAATAAAAACCTCTTACTGAAAAAAAAGAAAAGCTAATGTTTACTTACAATGTTAATGCTACCCTTACTCTCTGGTGCTCAAGAGGTAGAGGAGCCAAATGGCTGGCTCACTGCTGCCAACTAGTGGTTAGAGGCTGAACTACAACATAAAAATGAATGGTTGGCAATAAGGTTGACATTTTAAACAATTAAAAATCGATACGGGCTTTAGAATATCGATACAGTATCGGGAAATGAAATATCACGATATTTCAGTGTATCGATA